CAAAAAAAAAGAACAGAACAGAAGTTCCATAAAATATCATTGAAAGTGACCCATCTTGTCATAACCCATTTGGAAGAAAATCCAGTTTCCATCTCTCTTGTGTATATGTGTCTCCGATGTTTTGCTGATTTTTTCCCCCAGTATTTGATCAAGAAAACTTGAAGAATAAAATATTTTTATTTGAATAAAATACATTACATGCTGCAAAGTGTTCAATTGCTATAGAAGCTGGACTATGCATTATCTTTCATATTAAAGAAGAAAGAAAAGCATGATTTCAAAATATGTGAAACAGTTTCCTGGGAAGAAGCACATGGAATCACTTGCAGGCATAGGTTGCTGGGACGGTCTTGCGTAGGTGTGGGCAGCACCTTCTCTCTAGTTCCAATGGGCCTGCATTAAACCCTCCAACTGAGATTGTATGGGAGTGTTTTCTTCTGAGCCGGTCTTCACTTCTGATGATTATCTAAACAAGTCCCTGCAGTTTTCTTGACAAGATTTTCAGATTTGGTTTACCATTGCCTTTTTCTTAGTGCTGAGAGTGGCCTGACTTTGGGCCTAAGGGGGGACTCACTATCTCCAGGTTTCTAGCCCAGTGCCTTAACCACTACACCAGACTGCCCCTCAGGGCCCAATTATGATTACAATTGATAATTCTTCAGGGGTGGGGAGTTATCGCTTTTGATGGATTTTATATTGGGTTTTTATTTTTGTAATCACGTGGAGTCACTGAGAGTGAGTGGGGCAGCCATATAATTTTTTAAGAAAAAATAAAATCAAGACCATTTTCAAGTTCAACACAGAAGTACAATGGATTTGTCCCACTAGCTATTAAGACTGACTAGTTAAGTGAAAGATTTACCAAGCCAGACATGGTCACCAAACAAGCATTTTTATATTTAATGAAATCAATTTTTGTTCACATACAGGAAATCTACGAATCCAAAAATTATGTCAGATGTTGAATGTTTCGAAACATGCTGAAAACATTTTTTGATTATCCTTTTTGTATCAGTTCCACTTTTACTTGCTAAAATTGGTTTCATAGCCATTATAATTACTGTTACTATGCTTAGATCAAGGTCAGATTTACTTCTTTGCCAAGTACCTGATTATATAATTACATTCTTTTGGAGCAATTAAGAATTAAGCCACTGAAGGATTCAACCATTCTTCAAAAATGAGCATATCCAATCTAGCATGGATTTACATTAAAGCCTTCTTCTTTTGGTTTTGTTTTAATCTAAAGCCATTGCCAATAACTGCAAACATACTGTATATGAATGTGGATGCTGTTTGAAAATTACTTTAAATCATACCCTCAGAATTCAATTAAGGATGAGACATATTGCAGGAACAGCTTTACACAGCAATTTAAAGAAAATATATGGCAATATTTGGAGGAAGATATATTCCATTGTTTATATTTAACCTGAGTTTGTAAAATTTTACATTTAAATATTTATACTTTTTTAAAAGTCCTATACTGATTTTTTAAGTCTCCTAGCAGTTTAACAGATAAGATTCATTATGTTACTCTTTTCTCTTTTTCATAAGTTCTAGTGACCTTTTGTAATTTAGGATTGATTAAACTATGAAGCCCAAAATTTAAATAATTTTCAAAAAGTTAGCCAAGGTCTTTGAGAGAAGAAGACTGAGAATTCTTCGCAAGTTCTTGCTTTTATTTTTTTTAAAAAATATTTTTTTGACACTTGCAAAAGTTACTGCCTCATAAGTATTATATCTGTTCTAGTAAGTTCAGGCAAGCATTGCCATTTTTTCTGCTTCTAGAGGGGATTAGAATTGTGGTATCTTAAACTTTTTGTTCGATAGGGTATGGATAGATCTGTGGTTTAATTACGAAAAAAATGAAAAACATCTCTTTTTGTAGCTAAACTGTGTTTGACACACAGTAAAGGATAAAGCAGCAACCAGGTAAATATCATGAATTGCCATTATTTCTCATTTGTGTTTGTGTCCGCTTAAGTATCCTAGAATTGTAGAATTGGGGAGGTTTTAGTTTTTGATCTGGCCATTCTTGTCTGAAGTCAGTGATTCAGAAGTTATTGCCATCACTGTATTGAAATCAACTCAGTTCCAGGAAAGACTTTTAAAGTCTCCAGCAAACTCTTACTGTTTTACCTAATGGACACTAGTCCAAATAATCACTATGAATTGGGTGTTAACCTTTGGAAACATACATATAATGCTACAGAAATAAACAAGCCTTTACATATTAGCCAACAAAACATATAGACAAAGGTTCTAGCTAAAAAATTCCAAAATGGGAGCCTATAAAATGGCTAGTATGAATGTGTGTTGTCGCAAGGGTGGGAGGGATTGGGGTTATTTTTTTATTTTTATTATTTTTATTTTTTATACGCTATTTTTATATCCCTGTAAGTCACCTTGAGTCATCATGTGGGAATAGGTGACAATATAAATTTTCTAAATAAATAAATTGGATTAGGATGTTTTAAGATAGGGCAGGACTTGGAGCAGGAAACCTTTGGGAAAACTGCCAATAGTCCAATCATCACAACTGACAGGGATCAAATCCTGCACAATGAGCCATAACATAGTTTGTTTAATTTTGGTTTAAGGTATTGTATGAGGCCAGTCATTCTGGTTTTTATGTTTCTGGGATTATGCTTAGCACAATGTGCGATCCTAGCCATTTACGGATGATTCAACAAACCATACTTAGAAATCATGAATTTGCCTCTGTGGGACAAGGAGTGAGTTATGGACAGAGCCATGACTAGCGTGTAACTGAAAGCAAATGTTGGACTTCAGAGATGTGGAAATGTTTCTAAAGTTTATTCTCCCCTTCAGCATTCTGGAACAGGATTGGCAAACAAAATCTGACTCTTTGGAGATGTAGCTGGCCAGGCTAAGAACTCAAGAGAAACATCCAAAATGTAATGCCAAATTCCAGAGCTTTCTCTGTTTTCTCTCTAGCAGCATCTTCCTTGGTTAGACTCTGGTTCCCTTTTGCCCCTCCTGACTGCAGCTTGAAGCACCAGCTCTCTTTGGGAAGGCAAGCAATGTAAAAAGAGGAGGTTTTTGTGCCAATCTGAGGGAGATAATCTAGCAGATGCCTGAAAAACATGGGCATCTATCTACCTTTTCCAACTCCTCTATATGTTCTGTTTGATCAGAGTGGCCTTTATGCTTAGCAGGCACTGATCCTGCCAACCCTCAGTGCCTGCTGATGTAATTGCAAGAAGGCTGGAGTTTCTCCTCCTTGCCCCCCCCTCCCCCCACATACACATCTTGCGCCAATTTGATTTTGAAAAGACCTTGAAAGATGCTGATCCTAAACCATCTCTGGTTCTAACTGGGAAGCATACAGGATTTTAGTTCCAGATCAAAGGTTACTTATACTATTAAAAAGCAATAAGAAGGCCTGGCTGATAACTAGAGTTTGTATTTCATTTACTCTTCGTTAAAATAAATATAGTTGATATTATGCACCAACCATGACTATTATGACTCTTATGACTATTAAAGATTACAATTTGTTATCAACTTTTAGAAGCCTTGTGAGCTCAGCCAATCCTTTAGGAGCTGTAGGTGATCTCAGATGGTGCACCTTCAGAGGAAATAATAAAATCAAGTTAACTGATTAAGTTAACTAATTAAACATTGAAATAGATAGCACTGGCCTAAAGATTGTTTGAAATAAGGAGAGAAAATTCAAACCCAAAGCTTTCACTTACAAAAAGGATAATGCATTTAATATTGTGGCAATCTGAGATGACCTGAAACGCTGCGTTGTATTGTGTAAACTACAAATAGCCTCTGCCCCTTTAAGGCTCGCTCCTACATTTAGGACCTCCCCTTGGGTTTGGAGTGTTATTTCTCTTTCTCTTTTAACTGCTTCCTCCGGGGAAATGGATTCCTCTGGATCTCAGAAGCTGGAAGAGAAATTAACATGTTGCATTTGTCTGGAGATGTTTACCATCCCTGTGACTGTGCCTTGTGGACACAGTTTTTGTGAGAAGTGCATCAACAGCCACTGGGATAAAGAGGAACAAGGCCTCAGATCTGGCCAGAAGATCTGCACTTGCCCTGAATGCCGAAAAATCTTTCCAGAGAGACCCAAACTTAGCAAAACTGTCCAGCTTGAAAACCTGGTAGAGCTGCTGAAACTGGGAGAATTCCCGCCAGGTGTCTCAGAAGGAGAGATGAGGAAAGCAGCTGGTTCTCGGGCAAGGCTATGCCCAAGTCATGGGCGGCCCTTGGAGCTTTACTGTGTAACTGAGAAACGCTGCATTTGCTGCGTGTGCACTGTGAGAAGCTGCCAAAAGCACCAGAGGGCTCTCTTCGAAGAGAGACGGAAAGGTCAAGAAGTAAGTAAGGTGGTAGGGTCAAGGCATGTGGCTGGTGGGCTAGTAGAATTCACCCTATAGCATATACAGCCCAAACCCAACAGAGGCTGAGACTTATCTAATGCTAAAAGGGACTAGGCTGTAGTCCTCAAATTGCAACCATTTGTTCAGCAACCATACAAGTTACGGCATGCAGAATGAAGGGACTTAACGACTGGTGGTTAAGGTACAGGGCCCCCAAAGTCAAGTGGTCAAAAATTGGGTGCTTGGTAGCCACATTTACAAGCACAGGGGAACTTCAACTTGCCCCTGCCTATGCTTTCTTGGTCCCCTTCTGCCTTAGCTGACCTTCACCATCGCTTTGGTAGTGCCGCTGAGCAAGTGTGCCCAGTCTGGCCCTTTTGCAATTCTTCCCCAGGTTGCACACAATGGTTTCCTCCCAAGAACTGGGGAAGATGGCCTCACATGGCAGTAGCGAACAGGCAGCGTGATTCTTGTCAGCATCAGGAGCAAGATGATGGGAAGGTCAGTGGGTCAGCAGAGTGCACTGTGGCATGGGCTACTGTGGCTCATTTTGAGCTGAGCTTCATGCTGCAAACGGATTTATTTTTATTTTATTTTTATTTTATTTGGCTTGTCAATTGCTTACAAGGTAATAGGTATAAGTAAAAACATAGTTATGAATACATGGATACATATAAGATTTGTGCTGCACTGGGGCTCAGGCACTGCACCATGGCTCAGGAGCTGCAGAAAGCGACAGCGCTGCAGCATGCATGGTTCTAGAGTTGCTTACTGCCTTGCAAGGCAGGGTCCAGGCCAACCACAAGGGCAGAGATGTGGGAGGATAGGAGTAGTTGAAGGGGAAGCTTATCTTGAAAGAACCCAGGATCAGGGCTGGGAGAGATCAAACCCTGAATGGCTTTGATTGGGGTGGATCCTTGGTTAACTGTCATGCTCCTGGTAGAGACTGACTCTGAGGGAGAGAGGAACAGCCCAAAGGGAGTGGAAGTGTGGCTCCGGAGGTTGTGGAGGAGGCTGGGGAAGGGGAGAGGTCAGCTGAGCAGTCAGAGGAGGACCCAGGCCTATCCCCTATCTATCCTAGGGCACGCAGGGAGGAGAGGATAAGGGAGAGACATGGTCTACTCGGGAGGAGAGGGCCTTGATCCTCTTCATGGGCTGCAACTGTGACAACTGAATAAAAGGACAGCGTATGGGTGAGTGCTGGAAACAAAGCATGGAAATATCTCTAGTTTATGGTTCCTCTATGAGTTTGGCGTTCTTCCGAGTGTGTGTTCTGTTATCTGTGGATGACCTCCAGCCCTTATCTTGCCTGGTTTGTGTTGCTTTTTTCCTCCTTCTTGTAACTGTGTGGGAGTATTTTGTCTTCCGTCAAGGATATTTGGAGCTTGGAAGCAAAGTGAAGTAATAAAAGAGACTTCACCTGTTTTCTGTGACTGTGTTTGTTTTGTATCCCACCCTGGGTCATCACATTAACAACCAGTGGAATTTGGTTGATGATGGCAACAGGGATTGGCAGGTTGCTGTTACTAAGCAATGTACTGACATGACATAAATTGAGGACTATCTGTATAATAGGCATATATCTGTATAAACCAGAACATGTTGGCATGGCTCTGATTTTCAACTACTATAGTCATCTATTGCACCTCCAATTAAGAGCTGTAGACTATGTGTCCATAGATCACACTGTGGTAAGAATATGAGTACACCATGGGTATCAGTTTCCATTCGTTTCCACCCAGTAACACTAATGTCCCATATTGGGACCTCATAGTAAAGAGAACAATGTCCCTGCTAAATGCAACATTTGTCTCAAATGCAACCAGGCAATTATACTCCAATGTAACGTAATTAATAAGCTTAACAGTTAATAGTTTTCTGATGTGCCTTAAGGTATCTTAGCAAAGGTCCAACATCTCATAAAATTATATTTCCTATATTTATGTATTTACTTCGAAGTATTGATTATTTATTCTAGCCCCAAACACTCTGTAAGCTAACCACAAAACAGGATTAAAAATCAAAATATAAGGAATATGACAAAAATAATACAGCAGCCAAATCTATGATCATTGCCCATAATCAACTCAGGCCAAAGACATATTGGAATAGTCCAGTACAGCTTTATAGTAGTTGATTTCTGAGACTGAATAAAAGGGCTCTTGGGCCTCTGAGGGAGAGGATTCTACAAGGTAGGGGCTACCACAGAGAAGACCTGTTGTCTGGTTCATAAACCATGCACAATTTGAAATGGGTAATGGTTTTGCTTTGAAATTATCTCACAAGAGATATGATCCTGACATGAACATAAATCTAGATCTAAAGGTCTTGCGAAATCCAAAATATTACCATGGTTCATTTGGTCCATATACCATTATATTTTTCCTGAGCCCATCACTCTTTCTGAAGTGGATAGCAATTCCAGGATCTTGGTCATCTTATTTCAATACAGCACAATGGTAGCAAGCTGATATTACTAGAGTGTGGGACCTCTGCAAAAGATTACATGGATAGTAAGTACTTAGGTATGTTTCCGTAGATGTTTCTTCCAATGTGAATAGACTAACGCGAATATGCCAAGTGAAGTATTCTCTAAGGAAAAGTATGAAACAATTGCCCATTTGAACTTGAAGTTTGATTTGACAGGAGTCAATCAAGGAAACCTTGGAAGAAAAACGAAAAGAGGCAGAAAAAATTACGGCAGAAATCGAGAAACTGGAGCAGCAGATGGACCATGTTACAGTGAGTCCTTTGGAAATAGTTTGTGCTTCGCCAGTGCACATTTTAATCACTCATTCTTGTGATAGCTGCTGAATAAACAAAGAGGTTGTAATTTCCTCCCCATTACTAGTTTGTGTCCGCAAGGTAAAGGATAGTACCTCTTCCATTGTCTTCCATCTGCATTTTATTTTACTGGTATATGATGCCTTAAGAAAAGTAAAGAGAGACATTAGCTGCTATGAGGATAATTTGGTGTTTTGAATGTTGGCTTTCTACAGGTTTTCTCAAGGAAGTTCAAATCAGGAATTTTGCTAAAGTTTAATTATCTCATGGAAACCCTAAAAGAATGCCAGAACGTGGTGTCGGAGATAGTTACAAGAGAGCATGCTGCTTTGCTGAAGCAAATGCAGGAGAACCGGAACTGCCTACAGCATCATTTGGAGAATATCATGCAGTACAACAGAACAGCGGAAGCACTGATGAGCTCTGTGGATGATGTCTTGTTTCTTGAAGTGGGTAAAAAAAAAAAATTATCTGTGCATTGGGAGATTGTTGCTGTCATTGTACGCTTAATGCTGCTTCTTTGCCAAAATTGGGATCAGGGTATCAAGGGTCCTTCAGAGGACCCTTTTGGATTTTCCTTTTTTTTAACTCCATACATGCATTTGGAATGCTGAGAGCATATTATGAGCACTGGCACAAATAGCTTAAAAGTAGCTGCCACAATAGGAGTGTAGTTACTAGAGGTTGAATCAGTGAGATTATTTCCTAATGTTTTCTCTGGTCTCAGGACATTTCTCAGTATATCTTCCTTCCTTCCTTCCTTCCTCCCTTTTTTTCCACTGGGAACACCTCTGCTGGTTTATGCAATATTCTTCCAACTTTGATTTTTAGATTATGATAACTCAATGATCTTCTCCAATTCTTTGCCTTCTATTCTATCTCCTGGTATTGTCACATCAATTATCCACATATATTTCTTCTTTTCAGCCACAGTTAAATTTAATGTTTTCTGCACCAAGATTCTTATCAGTTTGTATTTAGAAGACCCACAATGTTTTAACCTGTTCATTTTCAACTTTTTTTTTTTCAACTGTGTGTTCCCATCATTATTGCTGGCAAGTGATAATTTTTACAGATGTTTCAGTGAATCATTTTGGTGATTGTGTTATGCTGGTGCTTATAATCAACTTGTGTGTTCTTTTTACACTATATTATGGATGTTTATATTGGATTTAGCAATTTTGTCCACCTATTGAGTCTTTCCCAAAGATCTGGGATAGGCAGATTTGTTGTTTAATAATGTTATAGGTGTCATCACAGGATCTAAGCTATTGTAAGTAAAGCTGCCTTTTGCAATTGACTGATGGTGATTTGTCAATGCTGATAGTGTTCCAGTGATGTTTCAGATGTTTAAGAATTGGCACCAAATTGTCCATTCCTATTAGTATTATTTTGCTTTCTTTTGCCACAAGTGTTCTATTTGCAGCCTTTATTTTTTGTTATTTTCTTCAGTTCTTTCTCATTTATTCTGCTTTCTCCAGGTATTAAAATATCCACTAACCAAATTCCTTTGTCTTTCTTATCAACAATTGTTAAGACTGGGGTGTTGTGTGGCAAATGCTTCTTTATTTTAATTCTAAAATCTCAGAGCACTTTAGCTTCTTCATTTTTTGTTACTTGTCTGTTTCATAACCTTACCAGTTCGTACTTACAGGCAAATTGATTTTATTTTTTATTTTATTTAATAAACTTATACGTTGCCCCACTTGCCAGAGGCAATGTACAAATATTGGATTAAATTCAGAATAAAACATTAAAACAATAAATAAAGATTTTAAATTTTAAAAAATTGAATTAAAATGAAATTAAGCAGGAAGGAGAAGAAGGGTGCAAAATGCAATGATATTTTTGGCAGGTATTCCAATGCACCATTGTTGCTACATTTTTGTGCTGTGGTTTGTAATCAATCTGTGAGATCCTTTTGCAGCTACTAATCAGGTGGCCCATGGTTTGTTTAATTTTTTTGTAGAGTTGGCATTTGCTACCTGTTGCTGTCTTCTCAATTCTGCTTTTATATGCATTTATTCTTAAGGCTTGATCTTGTGTAGACAAAATTAGACTATTTTTTCTTCAAATTTCCTGCCCCTGGCCTAGCCATTACCAGGTCTTGTTTTCTCTGCTTTGATTGCTAGTTGTTTTTTTTTTATGTACTGTCTGTGTAATACTTTGCCTCGCCATATCTCTTTTCTATTCTTCATTTGGTCTTTCTTGTAAATCAGTTTGGTTTCTTTGGTATTCAATAAGCCTCCATGGTGTAGCTTTGATGCATATTCTTCACTGTGCTCTTGCTATATTTTAGATTAGCCATCTTTGCTGTAGTCTAGCGGAATAATTATTTTCTATTTTTTGCAGGAGCAACAGTATCTCCTTTCACCATCTAGTAAACTGGAAGTTCCTCCAGTCATTCAACTTGACTTGGATAAGAATGCAAATACCGTTACCAAGTTCTTCACTGAATTCTTCAAGCTTTTGGAGGCACTTCAGTCAAATCTTTTGAATCCACAAATGGGTGGCAGAAAAAGTAACTATCAAGCTGTTTTACAGGCAATGAGAAAACTGGGTCACACTTGACAGGTCAATTTCCTGGCAGATATTTAAGAATCTGGTAGCACGTTGTTAAAATCTCAGTCTAGCCACACTATGCATCCAGTGAAGTGAGTTGGAGCTCAGAAAAGCGCATGCCTTTTCTAATATTTTATTTTCTAATAAAATGTGTTAGTTGGATAAGGAGCTACCAGATTTCTCCTTATTTTGTGCTACCTTAGACTAACATGGCTTTCCTCCGATGACTGGCAGGTGCATGAAAGTACATTACAACAAAGTAGGGGTTGGAGGCTTTGTTGAGGCACATTTTTTGTAATGACCTTTGTATCATCATGGCCAGAACCAACTTCTTTGGTTCTTGTTTCCTTTGTAAAGAGGCTGAATGAATTTAAGGAGTAGAATCTGTGCCTTACAGTGACTTAAGCATCTTTTCCCCTTAAGACTCACTGAAAAAAGAAAACATTGGACATTTTGAAATGTTTGGATTGGTAAAGAAGAGAAATGTACCTTCATCTTCCCTAAACCCTTTATGTTCTCATCCCACAAGAAGAGAATACAAATTTGAGCTCTTCTCATTTAGCTCTGTTCAGGAGGCTGCAAAGGGAGCATCAGGAGAGCTACATACATGCACCACTTTTTTTAAAAAAATTATTTATTTCCAAAATACATATAAAATTTTCATTTTAACAGTTCTGCGTCAAGCGTTACTTATATACTTAAATACAATATTTACAATTCTTCTCCATATCAAACCTTATTTCTCTTATCTAACCATATATATAACATTTCCCAAACCTCATAGAACTCAAGACTCTTTTACCTTTTAGTTTTCTCATCAGTCTGTCCATCTTGACACAATCAAGTATTTTATTTATTATATTTTCTGAATGTACATCATTATTTTCCAGCTTTGGGCACAAGCAGTTCTTGCCGCTGTTAATATATGTCATATGATGATATGTTTCTTTGGGTTTCCTTTAATCATCCCCAGCAAAAAAGCTTCTGGCTTAAATTCAATATCATACCCTGTAATTTCTCTTATCCATTTTTCAATTTTTCCCAGTATTTTTTAACTTTGTGGTGGCATTGCCACCACATATGATAGTATGTTCCATCTGTGAGCTTACATTTCCAGCATTGTGATTTCATGTTAGGGTATATTTTGGCCAATCTCGCCGGTGTCAAATGCCATCTATAAAATATCTTGATTAAATTTTCTTTATATGCTGTTGATAATGTTATACGTGCACCACTCTTAACTGCCTACCACAGCTGTGAAAAAAAGAATTTTGAATGTAAGAGGATAATACTGTAAGAATAATAGGAAAACTATTTCGATTAGCCTATCGAAACTTGATTTGTGTAGTAAGATTATTCAAATGGATTCCCCACAATAGTCTGCAAAGTCCAGATCACCTAAGTGATTTTTTTCACCCAAAAGATGTACTTCTGAGACAGCAACTCACCAAGATGTCATTTTAAAAAATCTTTAGTAACTTTCAGATTCATATATTTATTGCCTCTTTTTCATTTACCATATGAAACAGATCACATTTCTGTTCTTTTTCCTGAGTGATTAATAAAATCAAGGATGGTATTTTCCCAAGTGTCATGGCGGATTTTGTTGATTTATTTCAAGTTTGTTCCTGTTCAAAGCTATAAATGTATATGTACCATTGAATGGCTTTTACAAATGTGATTTAATCATTAGAAACTTAAAAAATAATCCTTCCATTTTCCCACAAATGCTGGGACTTTTTCCCCCCCGGATCAACCAAGTGTTGGTTCCAATGGTTGCAACAGAAATTGACCAACCACCTTGTTGTCTGAACATGATGTTCTGGGCTGAGAAGAGAGTGACTACCCCAAGTCACCCAGCTAGCTTTCATATCTAATGTGGCACTTGAACTCACAATCTCCTGATGTCTAGTCTGGTGCCTTAACTACACGACCAAACTGTCTGTTCTGTTATTTTTAATAGCTATATTCTATTACCATTTGGAATTTTTTTGAAGTTTGCTTTCTTCCTGCTGTTGAATTTTTCTTCTCTATTGCATTGTGCAGTCAGATTTGAGCCAAAGGTATTTGTGAAGAGGATGCCTGGACCTTGTCTTTCAGAGAATGAACTCAGGACAAAGCTTCTAAAGGGTAAGAAACTGGGCTGATAAGTGGGGTCTCATTCTTTAATATTTTATTTTATTTTTATTTTTAAAAATTATATTGCTGCCTACTCACACATGGCAACTCAAGGTGGCTTACAAAGATATAAAGATACACAAAGATGTCTCCCACTTGATTGTTTTGTCAGTGAATGCACTCTCTTCAGTGGTGGGATTCAAATTTTTTACTAACGGTTCTGTGGGCGTGGCTTGGTGGGTGTGGCAGGGGAAGGATACTGTAAAATCTCCAGTCGGAGGTGGGATTTGCCAGTTCTCCGAACTACTCAAAATTTCCGCTACCGGTTCTCCAGAACTGGCCAGAAGCTGCTGAATACCACCTCTGACTCTCTTCCAGAAATTTTAGTTGCAGTCCTAAAAGGAATTTATACAGTTTCCCAGAGACCAAGCATGGGACAGCAATACAAAGTTATACAAGATACAGCTCCCTCTCCATTAGAAGAAGAAAAACACTCCTTATTTACTCCATGTTGTAAAATGGTGACTACATTGGCTGAATTTGCTGCACCCTGTTCATGTAAGAAGTTACTTATGTGACTAGGCTTTTCTTTGTATGTGTAAAGCATGTTGATCCTTGTGTTTGGTAATTCTAAAAAATAGATCTCAGAAACAGATCTGTTTTCCAGCTGAAAACCTGCTCCCCCAGCTGCTTGTCTCAGTGATAACGAGACCACCCAAAATAGGAGATGACAAATAGTAACCCAAAATATATTGTGAAATATATTTTCACAACAGCAGGTCAAGTGCCCATTACTAATGCTCAAGGGGTTTTATGTTCCCTATTTGGTTTTCCCTTGGCTTCACTCTTTAAATATATTCTCTATGCTTATATATCTTTAAACATATTCTATGTGCTTTTATATCTTTTTGTATGAGCATGAAATACATTCCCAGATTTCCCTGTAAACTCTGTTTTGCCTAAGCATTATCTGGGTCAGTTGCCTTAATAGTAATTCCAGATAAGAGTTCAAATGTGCTTAACAGGGATGGGACAAATACCATAGTGGACACTTCTGCAGCTCTCCCTTCTCCCTTCTTCTGGATGGAAGAGTTTTTAATCTAGCCAGCCCCATCGCCATGAAAGTCAGCTGGGTGACCTAGATGAGGATATATTGGATATGTTTGCTGCCTTGAGTTATTTGTAAAAATAATAAAGGATAAAGGTAAAAGGTAAAGGTTCTCCTCACACGTACTTCCAGTTGTTTCCAGCTCTAGGGGCAGTGCTCATCTCCTTTACAAAGCCAAAGAGTCAGCGCTGTCTGAAGATATCAGTGTGGTCATGTGGCTGGCATAACTAAACCCCAAAGGTGCACAAAATGCTGTTACCTTCCCACCAAAGTGGTCCCTATTTTTCTACTTGCATTTTTACATGCTTTTGAACTGCTAGGTTGGCAGAAGCTGGGACAAGTAATGGGCGCTCACTCCATTACGTGATGCTAGAGATTCGAACTGCCAAAGTGCTGACCTTTCTGATCAACAAGCTCAGTGTCTTAGCCACTGAACCCATGCGTCCCTAAAAAAGGATATAAATAACCAAATAAATAAAATTGGTGGATTTGGGAGTCTAATGTAATGAACAGCCCTGGTACAAGTAAATATATATCTGTGGGTTTCTCTCTTCCATCCGTTGACAACATTTCCCTGCTTATGGATACTATTTGAGGATTGGATATTTTTCTCTAAATTTAAAAAATAGAAAATCACTTATTTCTTTGGTAGCAGGATCCTATACAGGCAATCCTTGACTTAATTGAGCTCAGAATTATGATTGTAAGTTGTGCCAGTCATTAAGCGGGTCATGTGGTAGTCATTAAGCAAACCCATTGTCCATAACGGGCATATCTGCTTGAAACTGGAAATAAACATTGTAAATAGCAGTCAGGGGACTGCAGAATGCTACAGACAGCCATAATGTATGCCGATTGTTGAGTGGCCACAATGTGATCATGTGATCACTCAATGGGTGAGTGAGTAGAGACGTCCACCGGGATTTCAAATCCAGGCCATAGTACTGGTTTTTTGGCTCTATCATAACTTCTAATGATTGTCAAGCAACTGGTCATAGGTCAAGGACTACCTCTAAGTAAATGCTGATGAATTCAGTGGGACTTGATTTCCCAATAAGTATTTGGCCTGCAGGGTGAAGAATGTAATAGAAATGAATACTTGGGATAAATCCCCTAGGCTTGATAAAGGATGTTTCAGAAATCTGTTCTTAATGACATCCTTGTCTTTATCAAAAGGACACAATTTTATCTATTTATCTTTCACTTATTAAGAAGGAAAGAACCAAGAGCATAGTCTTGTTGCCCAATATGTTACCCAACAAATTCCCCATGAAGAAAACCTATTTACTTTCTCTACTTTTATCAGTCACTACAATTAAATTTGTGTGAATTGCCAATTGCACAATTCTTCTAAATGCAGTATTGTACAATATACAGATTTTAAAATATGTTTCAGAGATGATGTAAGTCAGCAAGTATAGCAGAAAGCACTGCAGGCAACAAGTGAAACGGGAAAAACTGCAGAATAGCAGTAGGCAACTGAAAAGCTGTAAAAATGCTAGTCTCCATCACACATTATTCTGAGATGAAATATTTTAGCCAGTTTGTTCAGTATGTGCTGTAAACCCAGATAGCATGTTCCCTTTATGGCTTACTACAATTAGGTTAATTAAAAAAAATACTGAATTCTGTTCACTATGAATTAGCAACCCAAGTTTGGATTTAAATATTCTATTGCACAAAAAGAATGCAACTTCAACGTAACACTAATTTTTCCTTCTAAAACTTGTCCACTGTAAAAGTTTCTGGAGGGCTCCGCATTTGTCTGAAGCAAGTTTCTCCACTTTTATCAGTGGGCATTTTATGATCCAAGCTCTAATTTTAAATTTCTACATTTTTCAATCATAATATTCTTGTGGGTCTGATGTTTTTAAAATCAATTTTCTCATTTGGTAGGGATATGAAAAAGCACTGCAATCTTTAAACTATGTTGCTCTCATTTTGAAGATGAAACATATTTGGAAAAGTTGCCTGTTCTAAGAAAATTAAATTTTTCTCTTCTTGGAAAAAATGAAACATGTAATAGTTTTAAATATTCTGAACATAGGTAAAAGAAGGATCCAAGATGAGTTTTCTTGTCTGTGAAAGTCAGGACTAGATGGCAGCAGAAAATACAATAAACTCTAAAATGTTGCTGCCATCTAGTTGTTAATGCAGGTCTTGTATCCTTGGCCCTAATGTTCCCTGAAATAGAGATATTCTAAGTTAAGCTTCTGTGTTAACCTCTCACAGCAAACACAAATCCTTCAGTTAATTACTTTCTGTGGTATAGGAGGACATCCTGACAGAACATAATAGAACAGAAATAGAACCACCAGAAGATGGATTCCATCTTAGGAAATGCAAAAAATTTCCCCCGTCTTACTATCCGTATTTAAATCAGAAATGCATACTGAAAGTACATTAGAGTTAGCATTACATTTATAATACTGTATCCAGTAATGCACAGAACAAAAAATTGCTTATGAGTCATGCACACACCTTGATCAACGAAACAACTCTTTATTTTAAACTTACAGAGCTAGATCTCTAGCAAACAGGTTGAAACAAGCAAGTTCAAACGCACCTTTGTAACAAAATGTACCATAGATTGCACCAACTGTGCACAAGAGCATTTTAAAAATGAATTTCTCTTAACAAATTTTATACAAATAAATACAATACCACTGGCCATATACCTAAAGGTTTGTTTGCTATGGCAATGGGTTTAAGGGAAGGGAAGAAACTATCGGAGAGATGTCCCAAAGATGCTTTTCAAATGGCAACTGGAAAAAAATCAAGTGTCTGTCTCATAAGTTAAAGAAAAACATATATTTGTACCTTCATGGCTGCAGAGGTGTGTGTACATTACATAACCCAGTAAATAGTTTGCCCTACAATGGTGTCTGTGGAACATCCAGCCAAAGTTATTTTATGACTGTTGATTGCACAAACTCATCACTCTTGATTGTTTCTAGTGCACCTGGTTGATAAGGCTCGATTTATATGCCTCTCAGTCTATTTCATGATTGATAGAGACAATTGTGACATCACTTATTTTCTTATTTTTTTTCCTGCTTTTAAAGAGACTTTGTGTGCAGATTAACACATAAGGAACCAGTTAATCAAATCTCTATTTAATTTATAAGTTGCATCTAATTTTCCATAAATGTAGATGCAGACACTCCTCTTCTTTGACAAAGATGAAAACTAATCAAAGTGGAAAACCATAGTTGTTTCTCATGCACTTTTTTTTTCTTTTCAGTAACTAACAACAATAAATACAAGATCATCTGTGATGTGTATATACTTGGGTATGCATCTATCTACTTCCTGTGTTTGACTTCTGGTTTCTATCCCTAGGGGAAATAATTATCTCATTAAACATATTTAGGCAGAATGCTAACCAAAGGATTCCTGATTGCCAGTAAGAACAGGCACTCTTTATCATGGCATAGATTTCAAAGAGACTATTGTGAGCTCTTCAACTAGTAGTAATCCTTCGCCCTGAAACTAGTTTTCAGTTTTCATCAGCTATATCATAGGAGCCAGGATAGAAACCAGGAGACTCTTTGGGTTCTACGCCTGCCTTAGACACAAAGTCAGCTGGGTGACCTTGGACCAGTCACTTTTTTTTAGCCTTAGGGAAAAAGCAGGGCCAAACTACTTCTGAAAATGTTGCCAAGAAAACGGCAGAGACTCATCCAGAAATCGAGACTGACTTGAAGGCATCAAACTTCTTATTGTTGTTATTGTTTTCCTACTTATTACACTACTGTGGCTTAGTATTTTCCAACCCTAAAAAGTTAATTTTTCATTATGTATCCATGTTAAAGACTCCACTTCTAAAAATAATGCTGACTTTTGACACTAACAAACAAGAAGCAAAATTACATTATATCAAAATTACCATACATTATATCTAGTGTTTGGAAAATACAGAATAACAATAAAGGATCTGTTCAATAACGCCATTCCTAACTTTTAAAATTACATCCTGCTTCAATGAATGTGCCGAATAGAAAATATTCCAGGAAGGAGGTAAATTGGTGATCTTAGATTCTTTTGCTTTTTCCTAATATATTATCATTGTCACTCCCACAGATCAGCAGAATTTGACATTTGATCCAGTCACAGCCAACAAATACCTGCAGATATCCAATAACAATCAGAAAGCAACTCATCCCCAAGTTTTTCAAAAACCAAAGCCAAATGACTCTCAAAGGTTTGAGCCTTGGCTAGTGATGTGTACTCAGAACTTCAGCCAAGGCAGTCATTACTGGGAAGTAGAGTTATCCAACCACTCCATCATTGTTGGCGTAGCGTGCGAAACATTCACCAGATTGAAACAGGCTCATCAGAAGTTCACCATTGGGTTGGATAAACTCTCCTGGGGCCTGCATATCCAAGAAGACAACTACGTGGCTTGGTACAATGGCAAGTCTACAAAGATCAAAGAACCTCTGTGCAAATTCATTGGCGTTCTATTGGACTGTGATCAAGGAACGATATCCTTTTACAGCATAGACAATAATATGAAATGCCTCCATGTTTTTCACACCATCTTTATGGAGTCTCTGGTCCCAATTTTCTGGCTTTGTGAAGGTACAGCTGTGACTCTTTGCCAAAGGCCACCCAGCCAGATTATAACTGATGAGAGGACACCTGATTTACAGATATAGGCAAAGACTGCCCTGCCCCCATGGAAAAACTCTGAGCAAGCAAATAACTCTGGAACTTTGAAAAACACTTTTAGCTACTTGGCTGCACAGACAATTCTTTTCTTTTCTGTCTTTTATAGCTCTCTTGTGGATTGCAAGTCCTCTTTACCCTTTCAGGTGAAGATGCAGTTACAGTAGATGCTTATATAGCACAGAATCTGATGCATGTGTGTTTTGGGGCTGCCTAAAGCTTTCTGGCAAACTACAAAAATTAAGAAATATCTATAAAGAAATAGTGTGACCAAAAAAAATAACTTTTAATTGGGAAATTGTCACAGCCAATAAGAATCAAGTTGGGCAATAAAGAAATACACAATAATGTTTACCCTAGGCAGATCACTATTGACAAGCTCTCTGGAGTCACTTCATTGTGAGAGGTATGTTGGGAAACAGTGAAGTACATATATACATTAGTTTCTCATATAGATGACTGTATACTAACAAGTTCTTAAGAATTCATTTTCCGGAAAGCAATTTTTAACATTTATTTTTGTACCCTTTTTCCTATTAGAAGAGACTATAGTAGAATATTTTACAAAAGAATTAAACCCAGTCTTTAAAAAGATCAACATCAATAAATATTTGATAAGAACACAATTACAAAAAATACAAGCATTAATGTTTTGTTTTTTAAGGAAACAGTTTAAAAGGAAATCTAGACCTAGGGCAGGTTTTATTTTGTTTTCCTAAGTTTGTGAAAATTCACAGTTGAAAGCTTATTTTTCTATGGAGAAAATTATGACATATCTAAAACTAGCATTACAGATTTTCATCATGTTTATTATCATTTTTATTCTGTTCATTCAAAAGGAAAGTTGGAATAATAATATCTAAAGATTCTCAGAACTGCCCATTAGCACGATACCTCTTAGAACAGTGGTTCCCAACCTTTTTTTCACCCCACACCCCTAAAGAAATTTCACTCGAACCTCGTACCCCCTGAAATAAATAATAAAAATGCCAACATATAGCCAATATCCTATTATTTCCCTGGACTTTTCTCGTACCCCCCGGAATATCGTCTCGCACCCCCAGGGGGTGCGAGCACCCCAGGTTGGGAACCCCTGGCTTAGAATATTGAATAGAACAGGACCATATTTGCCATGTGTTGGGAGGAGGCAGGGTTGAAGAGAAACTGGAAAAAGTCAGCTCTGGCTAGAGGTTTAAGAAAAGAATCCAGGAAAAATCTTTTTGTTTTGTTTTTTAAAGTTGTTAAACTCTTGTATTATGTTTTCCTTTTCTGTCTGTGAATTGGATTATGCTCGTAATCTTCCAAGGCCATATCCCAAGGAGAGTAAAATTAAGGGCTCCATCATATCAAATAGGGGTCCATCTAATCCAGAAATGGCAAACATACGACACACGTGTCAAAGGTGACATGCCACGACCTTTTGGATGACACACCAGCGTTCCCCAACACTGAACAACTATTCTCAAAAGTACATCCCATTCTCCCGCAATTTTGGAGGCTGTAGAGGCCATGGAAGAGCATTCTCTGAAGCCACTTCAAGAACAAAGGCCTCGCGTAACAAGCTGCAGGGGCCTGTTAACAGAAAGAGAACATTGCCTGAAGGTAAGCAGCACATGGCAAATCCTGCGGATTACACCCAATTGGTCTGCATTTAAAAATAAATAAATGTGTAAAACATTATTTCTCTTTTATTGGGGGCAGTGTGACATACCAACAAAGTCAAGTTGGGCATTTTCTGAATTTTTGACCCAAAATGTTATCCATCACTGATTTAATCCGAACACCTTTCAGTGTGTACTCTTTAAATCAGGGGTGTCAAACTTGTGGCCCACAGGGCAGATGCACCATGCGTTGGCCATGCCTACCCCATTTAGTGAAGGGGGGAAATGATACATCATGTGATGCCACGAGTTTGACACCCTGCTTTAAAATCATGCCTCCTGCTACTTTCTACCTCTCAAGTAATAATGAAGCCATTTTTCCATTTATTAGATGGAAGAGGAGTGATACCTTTGGATCTGAAGAACCTTTCACCAACAACCATGTTGTCACTCAGTCCTTGATGATGTACTAATTTCTTGGCTTTAAATATCAATAGGTATCTCCACTATTATAAACCCATCCAGTTATGCACAATCCAACATTACCAGCTTGTAAAAGGCTTAATTGCTAAGGAAATGTGGTTCCAAATATTACTCTTGCCCGTTTATAATAGTGGTCACTGATTAAAAACAGAGAAAAGACTAATGTATTTCAGCTGTGTTTTGAGAAACTAGCACTAGGTGACGCTGGCCAGAGGACAGGAACTGCCTTTTCAAGCTTTCTTCACCTGTGCACCCAAGGGAATAAAATCAGTTCATGGACGCTTTGAAATTAAGAGTACTCAATTTGCACAGCAATTTTATGGCTGAACATGGCAATGGTATTAATATGGTCCAAAACAGTCAGGTTTCATTAAAAAAAGTTAAAACAGAAATTTGTCATTTTTTTTACTGTGAGCACACTGGCCCACATTAAAAATGAAATTCTGTTGCCTGTTCTCCAAAGAAAGTATGTATCTACCCATACACATAATACACACTATATACATACATACAAACACACATTATTAAATATTAATCATTGTCCATTTAACTGTAGCAAAACGGGGGGGGGGGTGTAGAGAGGAATATGCCAGCGATTTATCACTCCTAATACCCTCGCTACGTGCTATCACCCAACTATCTGCTGCTGAATTTGACGGGACTCGAGAAGAGTAAAATGAGGCAAATGTGTCCTTTTGGGAAAATTCGACGGCAGTCCGGAGGCGGGAACGGTCAGTTTCCCATGTTCCGAAATGTCTCCCTGGGATTCTTTCACAATTACTCACACATATTTTAATAGACTACGAAGGGCGGGAAAAGCTTGAGGTGGATTCATTTCGCGCGCTTCGAGGAGGAGCGGCACTTCTACTTTTCTTCTAACCTGAAGCGGGCGGCTTTCTCTTCGCCCCTTATAGAGAAACGCCACGCAAGGAGCCGGCCCCTCGCCTGCCTTTTGGGGGCCGACCGCGGCTGCCTGGTGTTGACCTGAATTCCCGATGGGCGGAGTTGGCGCTTCCAGCCCCTTGCCCTGCCCTGCCCTTCCTCAGGGAAAGGGGCCCAGCCCAGCGTCGCGCTCTTCGCCTCCTAGCTGACTTCATGGCAGTATGGACGCGGGCTCTGGCCCCATTAGCTCCGCTCCCAACTTTCAAGAAGGTTCTTTCGGTTGCCCCATTTGCCTAGACGCTCTGAAGGACCCGGTCACCACTCCCTGCGGCCACAACTTCTGCTTGGAGTGCATCGGGGCGCACAGGCATCACCCCGGGGGCGTTACAGGAGCCGGAGGACAAAGTGTCTCCCGCTGCCCCCTGTGCCAGGAACCCTTCCCAGCCGACCTCCCGCTCCGTAAGAACCACACCCTGGCCGAATTGTTGCAGCTCCGACTGCCCGCGCCGAGCAGTCCGCGCCTGGCTATGGCACCCGAGGAAACCTCGGAGCCGTGCGCTCCAGGGAACGGCGATGCCCAGATCGAGGAGGTGCTTTGCGACTTCTGCACCGATGGGGAGAGGGCTGAAGCGGCTAAGTCGTGCTTGGTGTGCTTGGCGTCCTTCTGCGCCCCCCACTTGCAACCTCATCTCAAAAGTCCGGCTTTCCAAAGCCACCGGCTGGTTCCGCCCTTGCGGCACATCGAGGAGAGCCTCTGTAAATTGCACCTCAAGCCCTTGGAGAGCTTTTGCCGGACCGACCGCAGCTGCATCTGCCAGATCTGCCAGACCCAGGAGCATCGGAGCCACGAGGTGGTGGCCGTGGAGGTGGAGCGGGAACTCGTGGAGGTGGGTAGGGCCGTCGTCGAGATTACAACGGAGCCCCTTTGTGCGCCCTGATTCCAGAGGAGCGACGAAGGGCGCAACGTGGCCCGGCTGGCAAAGCCTTTAAGTTGCGCTCGCGATTTCCAGCCTCGGAATAAATGTAAACCCTCTGGCTGCCACCGTCACTGAAAAGTTTTGCTGGACGCGTTAGGATTTAGGAGCGTGGTTAGGAGTTTTAGGAGCGTGGTTAGGAGTGGCGGTTGGAAAAAAGAATACAGATTGGAGAGGGATTGCAAAACCTGAACTCAAAAAGTCCACCTAATAAACACCCATTTCCATTTTAAGGGTATGGGCTCGTTCAGCCAAAGAGGAATGAAAGGTAGATTGCAGGCGATCAGAAGCACGTTTCAGGTGCTTAATTTTTAAGAGAAGAAACGTTTAGGGAACAATTAATGTTTAGGGATTACCTAAAGATGTTTAGGGATTACCTAAAGTTTCGGGATTTTGAGGAAGGTTGCAAATACTCTAGGAAAGATGATTCACAGGTGTTTGTAGTTAAGTTTCTGAAAAAGAGAGGGGTGGGTTCCTGGTTGCTTGGGAACTTTTCTCTTGGATAAAGAATGGGAAAGCATTCTGTTCAGTCTTGGAACCAAAAAAGTTCAGTTAGCCCTGGTGTACAAGGCTGACCAGACAGCCTCATAGATAATAGGGTAGAGTTAGATTTAGATACTGAGATTAATGGGTGAAGAATCCTGCTTAATGTAGGCAGCTGATTTAATTAAGTTAAAGATACTCTTCGACCTGCTGATTTGCAAGCATGCTGGGTCCAAACCTACAGGAATGGAAATTCTGGGAGTAGCAATTCCCACTTGTACACAGCAGTTCCACATTAGGGAAATCAGGATTTCAAAATTGACTGCTTTACCAAGGTAGGGGGACCACATCAGAGTAAAATAAAAGGGAAAGAGAAATCAAAGGACATTTTATATTTTTCGGACTCACAAATAATCTGCTGGGAAATAGGACATCTCTGTTGCTGGTCCGAGACAGCCGTAAATGGGAATGAATGAACTTCATGAGAACCCTCATTCCAACCTGTAATGTTTCATTGTAAAGGAATTTTTGGCGTGGCTATCACATGATTCTTGGTAGTCATTATATACATAAATTTAAGAGAAGCAAGAGGTTTAGGGGTAAAAGTCCTGGGAAATTACAGATCTGGCATGTTGAAAGGAGCGCAAGGAACATTTGGCATCATGAAGGAATTATACTCAAATTAGGAAGCTGGGTTTTTTTGTTTTTATTTTATTTCAATTTTTCTAATTTGAAATATTCATAATCCTGCACTTATGACCAGTCATTTAACGACCATTTGAAGTTATAGCACACCCCTGAAAAGCTACCTATAATCTGATTTTGAGATTACAGTCATTGCAGAATCCCCATTGTCACTTGAACAAAATTTGGGTGGATTCGTCTTTATGTCCAACTACAGGGATGGTGCATTGCCCCTTCACCTGTCTCCCCCCACCAACTCCCTGCAAGCCTTGGGCCTGCTTCCCACCACACTGGGTCCCACCCTGCCCTCCCCACTCCTGTCACCCACTGCTCACTTCTGTACAGTGTGTTAATACTTGATATTCAGGTGACTTGTCTATAAATGGTTTATAATTGCAAGATTGAATATGGTTCGGGCTGTTTATAATTTTCCGCTTTTCTGTTTTGCTTATTGCTATTTATGCTTTTCAGGGGCAGGGTTTGTAGTTATTTGAATATATTTTTTAATTACTTGAAGTAAAATAAATAAAAGGGGTTACACTTTAAGGCAAGTTATAAGCTAAATAAGAAGGCAGCAAGTTTCAATCCTGGCATTGTCTGTCAAAGGAAAGTTGATTAGCCTAGCTGGGAAAGATTGACTGTCGGAGGCCTTAGAGAGTAAGAACTTAATCTTTGCATAAATGAACACAAAGTGCCCAAGGATGGGTGGAATAAGTGTTACAGAGCAAAATTAAGGCATAGAGGTACAAACCCCTTTTGTTGGCCTGGGGGTCAGGATATTAGTTGAGCCCATGATATGTTGATTAGGCTTCCTTGGTTGCTATTTTCTATTTGAATTGGATGTTCTTTTATTACTTTGTATTGATACTTTGCATTGGTTAACTGCTTAGAGCTGCATTTGCACAGTAGGCAACCATATAAATAGATTTAAATAAAAAAGATCACCATCTTTTTCCACCAAATATCATTGATAAAAGCACTTAAAACCTAGTGCTCTTCAAATGGGTTGAACTATAGCTCTCATCATCCCCTCCATCCAACATGTTGACCAAGGATAGTGAATTGTAATGCAGCCAGAGGTGGTATTCAGCAGGTTCTGACCAGTTCTGGAGAACTGGTAGCAGAAATTTTGAGTAGCTCGGGAGAACCAGCAAATACCACCTCTATGACTGGCTCTGCCCCCATCTATTCTCTGCCTCCCTTGTCCCAGCTGATCGGCTGGGTCTTCTTTGGTTGCCCTGCACAGGAGAATGGACCTGGAAAGCAGGTTAGTGGAGTGGGGAGGAAATGGGGATTTTGCAGTATCCTTCTCCTGCCACGCCCACCAAGCCACCCTCACAGAACTGGTAGTAAAATTTTTTGAATCCCACCACTGAATGCAACAAACTGGGAAGGCATCCATGAAGGAATTCTGCTATGAAGAAATAGGAGAACCTTGATGGTAGGCACAAAGTATGATGGAAGACTCACCTGTTCAGGGAAACTTCAGAGTGATGTTAAAGCTGTAGTAGATCAAATGCTTAATAAAATTTATTTTAAAAAAGAAAGTTGTAGTAGATCAGGGGTGTAAACTGGTGGCCCACAGGCCAGATGCATCACGCACAGGCTATGCCCACCCCAGCTCCGCGAATGGGAAAAATGTCACACAACATCATGTGATGGCAATGTGACATGGCGAGTTTGATACCCGTGTAGTAGATTATGTGTGTATGACAATGGAGCGCAGGTGACCTAAACAGTTGCTGGCGGAATAGCCAGAGCTCATTATGAAAGAGGCGGAATACAACTTGGGAATTGCAAAGAAAAGTGTTGACATTTTGTGAGCTACTGGGCCTGCTTGGAATTTTGAGAATGTCATGGCTATCTATGTAAAAGTGCCCATGCAGGGAAAGGGGAGCTAATTCACAAAATAATTCTTATTAGGGTCATGAATAAGTCACTCTATACTGCAAATTATTCTTGCTTACCTTATGTTTGTTCTTTGGCATATTTTCAAAAAAACAAAACCCTAAACCTTGGGCATTGAGCTGCAGTATTCTATTTTCTAAGAAAAGAACAAGGGATGTGTAGCCTAAAAAAGAGAAGGCCAATGGAAGAAATGACGACAGTATTCCAATGCAAAAAAAAAAGACTGTCACAGGGAAGAGGGGGTAGCTATGTTCTCCATAGAGCCTAAGGATAGGGCAGAAACAATCTCTGAACAATTGTTTACAAATAAAGATCCAAGCTCAAAATGAGGAATTTCCTAAGTTGAAGAGTGATTAATCAATGGAAAAGCATGCTTCCTGAAGTCATGGGATGGGGATGTAACACTGGAGGTTTTCAGGCAAAGGTTGGACATCCGTTTGATTGGGATGATCTGAGGATTCCTGCCTCCAGCAGGAGTTTGGACGCCAAGATCTCCAAGGCCCTTCCAACCCTAGGAGGCTTTAAAAGTTTATGGCGACTTTGAAAGGCCTGGAAGCGTTCTTGGGGATCAGTACGCTGCTGGAGAGTTTTGCTTTGCAGCCTGAGGGTTTCCCATTTTTAAATTAAAATGATTTTTTTAAATTACCTAGCAAGCACTCAGGGAGGACTTAGATACCTGCAATGTCATGTTGTAGACTGCAGTCTTTGGGGATTTTTGTCAGATTATTCAGTTGCGGGAATAACTTTTGTTTAGGGCAAAAGCAACTGCACACTAACTTATATGGAAATATTTCCAGTTACCAAACCTCGGTTTGGCCCTGTGCAGGAGGGTAGTTAATGATGGATGGGAAATCCGTGCTTGGGAGGGGAAAGCCTCTGAGTTCTGAATTGCAGCCAGACAAGTAAATACAAAAGTCACAATGACTGAAACAAATTGCGGAGGGCGAGGGGGGCGGGGGAGGATTGGGTGTAGTCAATTTTCCTCTGAAGTGAAATTTTGCACTATTATTTTCTCTTTAAAATAGTGCAGAGTTTACTAATGTGTAAGGGAATAAATATCTAGATAGGAATTTAAATAGACAAGATTCTAAGATTGGGCTGTGAATGGATTTGTAAAGATGTACATCCATTTGTATGCATGAAACAAATATCAATAAAAATTCCAAAACTGATTTGGCATAAAAAAGAAATATTAAAGATAGGAACTAGCCAATAGGGTGTCAGTCACAATCATTGTAGTGTTTTTTTTATTATGCTGCTAATTCCATTAAACTTTCTCCCAGATGTACAAACAACTATCTACAGATTAATGTTGAATTTTTTTAGAGAAAAGGCATGCTATTGAACGTTGGCACTAAACTAGAGAAATAACATCTATTTCACGTAGACTAATCTTGAATGTGTCTGTTTTATTAAAAAATAGGTGATATTGCTAAAGAATATTATTCAAATGCAGAAAGAACTTGGTTAGGTGATAAAGGTTTAAAATGGCTTCTAGGGAGAGAGTATGGGGAAGAACTTTAAAATCTAGAAAGTGTCAAGAGTATTGTCTAAAAAGTTTGGAATGCAATTAACAGGATGAAACAATATATGGATAGGAACAGTTTGAAAAGGAGGTAACAGTTACAGAGTTCGTCAGGGAAAAGAACTGACAGTACTATAGTATCATCAGAACTGCAGTTTTTAATATCCTCTTGACATCTTCTTAAGTAATAATTTACGTTTTTTAGTTATTTTCAAGAATAAGTCACTAGATGCAAATTTAGATGATAGTTTTGGTCATGAAAGTTAAGCTACGCACCATCAGGTTTGCTTACCATCCTGTGAGAACCAGTCAT